TATCTCCAAAGCCTGTGGGTTAACCACTCGCCAGCTGGCAGATCCATGAAGCCTCACAGCTTCTAGAAATGTCTTAAATGTGTCTTATTTTCTCACATCAGATGGATGTGGTTGTCTCAATCATACCGCTAGGGCTGTTTATCTAACAAGGAACTGAGGTCCGTAAAGGAGAAGCGACTTCTCCGAGGTTACACTGGCTGTAGGGTTTAGAGCCGTGAACGGAACAGGCCAGTGCAGACCTTGACAGTAACCACCACCCCCCTTTAACCCCACCACATCCTGTAGGAATAAGGGGAAGCTGAAACAAAAGGCTTGGCAGCACAATTCTGCCACTGAGATTGAAAATCATGAGCCGCTCAAGTCCAACACAGCTTCTGGACTTGGAAACCATCCCCAAAGTCTGCCCTGGTAGCATTGCTTGGTACCTTCACCGTTTTAATGCCAAGCTGGGCTGCTGCTTTTAGGTTCTGGCTGCTGCTGTCGAGGAAGATGGATTCCTGGGGCTGAACGCCCAACCGCTCCAAGCACAGCTTGTAGATGCGAGGATCTGGCTTGTGCATTCCTTCCCGATAAGATTCAACCATCTACAGCAACAACAAATGGATTATGCATGAGCCTGCTGTGACCGCAAACATCTGTGCAGTGTTGGAAATGGAGGATGGGAGGGTTGGGAAAGAGACTGACGGTCTAATTAACATGTGAAATAAGGGACACGGGGAACTGAGGGCTGACAGAGCTGGATAGGATGTGATTCAAGTGACTGCGTGGGTGCTGATTGCTTGGCTGTGGCTCTGTCAGCTCAAATAAGCCAAACAGGACCAGCCAGTCCTCAGATGGAAGATCTCCAACGAGATGTCATGATGTGGGAGACTCACTGGATGGCCCACACAGTGCTGAACCAATTGCTCAATGCTGTCCAAGAAAGCCTTGGATTGGACCACCTTCCAAATGATCTGGAAAAGCAGTGCCCTGACCATCGCACCTATCAACCACGCCAGAGCAATCTTCACAGCAGCAGAGATGTTGACCATAATCATCTGCCCAAATCTGCATCAACAAAAGTCCTGAGTCAGTCTCTGAATACTCACATTGCCTCACAACCATAAAAAATTCAAGCAGTATTTCACCCCTGCACTGACAGACACTCTAGGAAGAGAAATGAATCTATTAGAGAGATATAAAAGCCAATGCTAATGGAAATCCATATTAAATTAATTTTTTTCCCCACTAATTACTGTGCAGTCCTGTTGCCTGCTGTTACAGAAGAGCCACACCGCATGAGTGATGACACCAGATAGGCCATGGTTATTAAAGTGCTTTGAAAGAGGCTGGGATGAAAGGAATCACAGAGCATCACTCCACTAGGAGAACTTCACAGGCACTGGTGTCACTCAAAAAATGCCCAGAAAGCTGAGCTGATAATAACATAATGTTGACAAGATGACTTTAAACAGTCCCAGGTTTTAAATGTTTCGATAAGACTCCTCTTTGCATATTTTGTTGTCTCAATCAGGGCTATAAAACAAACTTAAGTCATGAATAAACTCCTGAAATTCAAAGATGTCAATTGGGCCACACAAAAAAGCAAATTTTCTGTCATGCTGAGGCGAGTCCTCACAGCTGCCTGATAAAGTGAAGCCACACGAACCAGCTTTGAGGTTCATGGCTAATCTGCTTCATCTTTGCAAAAAGTGTGCTGGGAGAGGGGTCTCTGCCTGCTCAACAGCTCAGGCATGTTGGGGTAAGGGGATTTTTCTAATATGGGGGATGCTTTGCAATTCTTTGGGATGAAACAAGCTTTAAAAGAGTAAAGACTAAATATAAAGCAAGCAGGGGCACCGGGGAATAACATTTATTTCCTATATAGTGTTCCAGCTTCCACTTCCTTTATCAACATGGCTAGCTGTGCCTGTTACACGTAGATTTGTGGTTGGGTGGGCATTTTGCAATGATTTTTCAAATGCACAAGTACCCACCATTCACTCAGACCTTCTTCAAGGTCGAGTCACTACAATGAATTATGCCAGGAAACATTTCACAGATTGTTATATTTATATCTAGTAATAGGTGTTGCCGGTTGCCGTTCATTTGGTACCTGCATGTAGAGAACTTCAGTTGCAGCTTTCTATCGAACTGGCTACAAAAATGCATTTTGGAATCCATCAGGACTTACCACATCAAAGTGCTCTGGGCCCAGGGGCAGAAAGCTTCCTCCATTCAGCAGACAGAAGCTGTTGCTTAGAAGAGCTGTCTTAAGACCTTCTGCGCGGATACACTGTACTGCTTCTGCCATTATGGGGAGCTGTTTTATCATCTCATTTCTGATTAGGTCCAAGAGAAAAGAGTCCACTGGAACACAGACATTTGCCTGAGAAACCAGAGAACCCCCCCCCCAAGAATGATAATTAACCATAGATGGTTTTTAAGTAGGGAGGAAAATAAGAGTGGTTGGGTAGGTCGGTTGCCTGATCATCTTATCTTGCTGTCCTACTTCCTTTGGCAGCAGAAGGCAGTCAGTGAATCTCGCAGCTAAATTGCTTAGACCAAATAAAGCATTCTCACATTACTAACTCTACAGAAGCAGCAGCAGAGATAAAGGTCTGATTTGGGGGATGAAAAATACACTAGGACTGCGCCTGCCGTGCAATCAAAGCAGGTTAGAGATAAATACTGATTTACCAGGCAAGGAAAGGAATCTGCATTTTAGACTGAGCTGTTTAAAGAGACTTTATTTAAAAGAGGATTCTTGCACCGTGTTCCTGGAGCTGTGGTAGAGTGGCTTCTACCAATCTTAAGAACCCTTCCTGGAGGCCATGGCCTCCGTCCACTGAGTGTGCCCATGTACGAGGAGCAGAAACCTTTCAGCTGGTCTCTGACTTCTCATCCTGGCTGACCCTAGAGGTGTCTTGAAATAAAAGTTATGAAATATGCAGGAAGAAGCTCACAGAAGTGAAGGCAAATTCAGCTGACCATCCTGCCTGAGTACCAGAGTGGTGATGGCAGTGAAAAGCCTGCCCTGAGCAGACAGCAATGCTTCCTAGATGGTAAATCCAGACCCTTCCATCAAGGGATTCCTTTGAAAAGCTCCTCTTTGCTCACTGAGCCACCAGATCCCCACATTGCAGGATCCCATTTCCCTGCAGTCAGGAAGCACAAAGAGAGGAGGGGGGAAGTTGGCTTACAATCTCAAAGCACTGCTGTCCCAATTCCTGCAAAAACTCCACAGCCGTCAGCTCTCCTCTTGTGTACTTCAGAGAGGGACTATTTTCCCCTCCAGAGAGGATAGCTTGTTGGATGGTGCCAGCTGGAATATAATTCCGGGCCTCCCAGTCTATACAGAGAAAAGTGAGAAAGCCAGGAGAGAGCAGTTATGGATGGCATCATCAGAACTAAGAAACCAGCTTGAAATCCCCCTCAAGTCTGATGCATCAACCAGGACTCGTGAGAACCGACTGGGATAATTTTTCCAGCCACAAGAGAAGTAGTTTGGGCATTCCCCTAACTGAAGCACCTCACTTCTGCTTTTGATGTGGTGCCCTTGGGGTGAAAACACCCAGTTTTTAAAGTGTCCTGAAGGATGGCACTAACGTTGGGTGGTACCAGCCAGTGCCATTACAGGACAGTTTTGTGACCAGATGGGCTCAAGCCCTGACTGAGAGCTGCCAGCTCAGGCTGCGAGTTGCTGTCAGTTCTAGAACAAGATGTCATTGTCATCATCAGAAGTTCTTTAATATCTTACCGGAACCGAAGGTGGCTGACAGGGACACCTTTCCTGAAATTTACCTTCCCTCTATGCACAGAAATAGGAGGAGCAAATGAAAAATGGAAATACACACCCGCGGCTGTCTTGTAAGGGGACGGGAGGAGGACTCCGCTGGCATCAAAGATCACAGCTTTATAATGGCACCATCCAGATCGCCTCCGCCGGATTAACCCCTGCGGATGCTGCCGGATCCCGGCGCAGAGCAGGTAAGGGGCACGGGCAATGCTCCTCAGGTACACACTGCCGAAAATTCGCAACGGGCCCATGCTGACAGGGGAGAGAGACTAGGACACAAAGTATAAAATTACTTTATTAAAGCAAAGATTTATTCCTGCACACACATGAAGTGTCCCAGCCAAGTTGGGGCACCTGAATGTGGTATTACACAGGGTACTTACACCCTCCAAACGTTCAGGAACAACACGGTTTGACTAATCACTAACGCCCACACTGCTCATCATAGCAAAAATCTGCAAAGCGGCTATATTTTTGCAATGTTCTTGTTGCTTGCCTATCGATCCAGATGTCCCTGGAGTCAGTCCTGCTCGAGTTAATTTTCCGTGATGCCAGGTGATGCTGGGAGGTTTTCAAAGACCTGTTAAGAGCAGCCGTAGGATCCTGGTGTTACCCTGATCGTGTAGGATCCCTTTATCCTTCACAGCTCTAAGCTACGAAGCAAAATCCTTATTTCCAGGGCTGGCCCTTCCTTTAAGTTTATTTCACTTAAGCATGAGCAATACTAAAAGCTGACAAAATACCTGTGTGGTGGGTGTGAGGGGGGGAAGAGAAGAAAAGAGGGGGAGTGGGTGTGTTTATTTTGATTTTTGGGGGAGGGTGGTTTGGCGTGAGGGGATGGGGGCCTGGTCCCTCCGGCTTGGCAGTGTTGCCATGGTAACGGGGCCTGGTAACCAGTGTCCCACCCCTCCTAAAGTCACTCCTAGGGCCGGGGCACGGAGGGAGAGGGGCCCGGAAGGGACACAAAGTCCCTTCCGGGCCCCTCTCCCTCCGTGTCCCGGCCCCGGCAAGTCCAGGCCAGGCCCAGGCCCCCATTAGGCCTAGTCCAGGCCAGGCCTTGCCAGGAAGAGGGCAGGCTTCACCCCCAACTCTCGCGAGAACTCACCCGCAAATCTCGCGAGAAGCAGCCGGGCGCCTCACGCAGCCCCCCGCTCCTCCGCTGCTGCCGCCGCCATCTTCCTCCTCTACTGCCGTTGCCGCGTCGTCGTCGTCGTCGTCTCTGTCGTCATCACAACGCCGGCGTGACCCCGGCGGGGTCAGAGGGGAAAGGTGCGTGAGGCGGAAGCGGTGTTTCATCTCCCTTGGCCTCCCCGGAGCGCGGTGGCGGCGGCGCCGGTGGAGGAGAAGAAGGAGGAGGCCTGTGGTGGCCGGGCCCATGAGCGTGTCCCTGGTGGTGATCCGGCTGGAGCTGGCCGAGCACTCCCCGCTGCCCGCGGGCTTCGCTTACAGCGCGGCTGGTGAGTCCCTCCGGTCCGGGTCCGGTCCCCTCCACACCGGTGCTGGTGGAGGGGGGGACCGGGCCCCGGTGCGGGACAACCACGGCGGGGGAGGGAGCTGTGCCCTGTCCGCCGGCCCCAAGGCACCCGGGGGCAGTCCCGGTGCTGCCGGTGGGTCCCGGTCCCCCCGCCGTCCCCGTTGCCAACGGCTCCTTTCTCCTGCGCAGCTCCGGAGATGGCTGCGGAGAGCACCGGGGCGGCCCCGGCTGCTGTTGTGCCGGCCTGTTTGGAGGGGAAAGGCCCCGGGGAGCGGGCGGCCATCCTCCACCAGCATCTCGGGCGCAGGGAGATGACCGATGTGATCATTGAGACCATCCAGCCACGGCCAGGTACCGGCCTCGGGGGTAGGTGGGTGGGGAGTGCTGTTTCTTGGGTCTGTGGTTGGTTGCCCACCCAGCTTGTGTGGTGGCCCCTTTCTGTCTGTCAGTCGTGTGGGGATGGTGGAGGTGCGGCCGGGTTTGTGGGTCTTGAGTCAGTCAAGCAGTTTGGAAAACAAGTAGAGGAGCTGAGGAATTGGGGGCTGGATGGGAGAGCTGGTTATTGCTGGAAAACAATTCCTGCTCTGTAAAGAGTTAATTTATTCTGGGCTATGCCATGAGCTTGTCGGTGTTTTGCTTGCCAGAGTTGCTGGCCCATAGTAGTTGAGACCATACAGCTCTGGAGACATTTAAATTCCCTGATAGGGAGGAAGTTTAAAGATGGGAATGCCAGGTCTTGTCAAACATCCAAGCTGCCATCAGAGCAGCACGGGAGGAGCAGCCCGCTCCGTGCCCCTGCTCAGCAAACCTCTCCCAGTTGCTTTATGTTGGTACTGGTGCCTGTTGGGATTTCACCTGCCGCAGCACAGAACCTGCTGAGCTTGATCTGCGGCACCAGGGTCCTGCCAGGGGCTCGCACCGGGTGTCTGGCAGCTCTGGAGTTTCCCTTGGAACCAGCAAAGATGAGAGGTCTGCTGAGCTTGATCTGCAGCACCAGGGTCCTGCCAGGGGCTTGCACCGGGTGTCTGGCAGCTCTGGAGTTTCCCTTGGAACCAGCAAAGATGAGAGGTGACTCGTTCTGCTGCTTTCCAGGGTTGTAATTTGGCTTTTTGGAGAGCTGTTGTGTACATGCAGGCTGTGCTTAGGGAACAGCAGACATTTCTGATGCGCCATTAGTAACGTGGAAACTTTTGGTTTGTAAAAGATGAAACAAAAGCTGCCGTGGAAGGTAGAAAATCTTCAGAGGCTGCATCTGCTGAGGACAAAAATAAACACGACGATCAAAGCAAAGAGCGTGAGGCTGCTCCAGACTCGCCTTCAAAACAGCTCCCTGACCAGATTTCCTTCTTCAGCGGGAATCCCTCAGTTGAAATCGTTCACGGCATTATGCATCTGTACAAAACAAAGTAAGAATGCTTAATTAGTTGTGGCTCTAGTGGGAACAGCGCTCCTGAATAATGCCAACACCCGGAAGGGTGAGTCGGTCACCCCCCGGGGCTGTGGCTCCTGAGCTGGGACAAACAGGAAGGGTGACTCGCACCCGGGAGGGCAGATGATGCCCTGGAGCTTGAGGCTGGTGGAGCTTGAGGCTGGCACGGGTCTCCCAGCTGCAGGTGGTGCCACTCCAGAGGGAGAGGACTGGTCCCAGGGCCTGTAATGCCATAAGACAAACGCGGGATCCTAAAAAATCAAGTTTGAAAGCAGCTTCTCAAGGGATCCCGCAATTAAATTGTGATCTGTGGGGTCTTGGCAGCAGGTCTGAGGAGCTGTCTGAGGCAGAAAGTTTCATCCCATATTTCAGGGATTACAGTTTCGTGCCATTCCCTTATAATTGCGTGAGAACTCCTGTTTTGGGTCTTCCCGAAAGCTGTCAGGAGACACAAAATGGGTATCTGAAATAGTAACAAACATTGCTCACTTGTTCTAGGAATAGTTCTGAGCATCTGTGGCTTGCCAACTTCAACTGTTTTTATAGAAAAACAGATGTCAAATTATTCCTGACAAAACCACTGTTTATTGGAGCTGCCCAGTTTAATCCTTTGCCAAAGAGTAATGGTTTTATGTGGGTACCCTGGACCACAACCTTGTGCTTCTCTTTCTTAATATTTACAAATATGCAAAAGAGGGTTAAGATTGACAACAAAGCTGTTCTTGTACCCGTGGCTGTTGGAAGTGTGATATGTCCAGCTCTGCCTTTGTCCTCTCTGAAACAACATGGAGTTGTGTCACTGTTGTCTTACCAGCAAGATGACCTCTTTAAAAGAAGACGTGCGGCGCAGCGCCATGCTCTGCATCCTCACTGTCCCTGCTACCATGACCAGCCACGACCTGATGAAGTTTGTGGCTTCTTTCTATGAAGTAATTGAGCACATGAAAATCATCCGAGATTCCACTCCAAACCAGTACATGGTGCTGATAAAGTTTAGCTCACAGGTAAGAGCTGCAAGTCCCTTTGCAGTAGAAGGGACACCACTGTCACATCCAGCCGCTGTTTGGGAGTGCTCTCTGCTTTCCCTGGCCAGCTCTTGGCCAAGATTGCATTTTACCCTTTTCCAAAACAGTCCTGTCCTATGGCCCAGAGCTTTCCCGGGGCTGCTGACTAGAATGAGTCCCACACCTTGACCTGGGGGCATGTGTCTGCCATGTTCTAGCTACCCTATTTCTTGTTGGCAGGGTATTTAAATATATATATTCAGGATACACAATTCTGTGCCATTTCAGAGCATATTCAAAATGAGAGGGGTGTGTTGTACTGTGCTGAATGGAAAAGACCCAGCCACTGGGGCTTTGTGTTTTAGGAAAGGCTTGTTCTGCTTTTCTGAGGAGCTGGAGGGTCTCCCAGCCACTGCCAGCACAGAGGGAAAAGGACAGTTGCCCACAAAACTGAGAATCTAGGGGATGAATTGATAACCAGATAATGTGGTTTGCTGCTCTCAGGTCTTCTTAAACTCTGTAGCTTTAAGGAATCCTCCTTCCAGTTCCTGTGTAGACCTTCTCAATTGTACCTTCTTTTCTCTGAACTGCAAGAGACTTATTTTGGAGCTGGGAGAGAGGTTTCCCTGAGCTGTGAATGCTGTGTCAGGTGTTTCCAATGCCTGTTGTACAGATGCAGTATTTGTGTGCGTTCTGTGCTATTTGCAGTAGCTGCAAAGATGCATTTTGTCTATCTCTGGGTCAAATTACATGGGCAGATATCTAGTGCTAAGCAGCCTTGCAGCAAATCCGTAAACTTGTACTCAATTCACCCTGAAATTCCCATTTCTTAGGAAATTCCCTGAAGCCCTGTTCCCCAGTGACCCCTAACGGCTGTGTCTGCAGGCAGCAAAAGCAGATCTCATGGGCCTCTATGCTTCTGGCTGGAGTGGCCAGGAATATAGGAATATGGCATTAAGCTAATTTGTCTCAATCTCATGCAGTGTGAGAGAAAGGGTTTGGGGATGCTACTGAGATAAAATGGATGATGTATTTGACAGGTTTTGTTTTGGTTCTGCCTCTTTGCAGGTCACTCCTGGGCACGGTTCAGAGCCCACAGTTAAATTGTTGTTCCCTTCCCTGACACGAGTGTCCTGCAATGTGGGCCCTCTTAAATTTTTTGCAGTTTGCAATTTGCTTTGCAAATTGCACTGCAATTGCTGACAAAGGGCAAAACAGATGCTGAAGGGAAATCCGTTATTCCTGCTGAATGATCAAATATCAGAGGAGCTGTCACTGCCCTGAACTTCACTTCTTGTCTTCAAGTGGTAGCGCCAAACCCGGTGCCAAGATGCAATGCCTGCTGGCAGGAGCTGACTGTCTGAAATACCTCCTCTGCTATTACAGGGCTCGGTGGAGGGGAGAAGAGACGATACAGCAGATTTCTGCTCCTCTTCCTCGGCTGTATCAGCTGCGAGTTTGCTCTTTGTAACTGGCTGCCTTTGTTTTGTGCGCAGGCTGACGCAGATAGCTTTTATATGGCATGCAATGGCCGGCAGTTCAACTCGATAGAGGAGGATGTTTGCCAGCTGGTGTACGTGGAAAGGGCTGAAGTCTTCAAATCAGAAGATGTAAGTTTGTTTGGGGTTTGTTTTCCTTGCGCTACAGGGATTTTTAACAGGATTATTTGGGCTGGGCTGAATGCTGCAAGAGCTGCTTAACTGTGTCAACCCAAACCCCGTTCCCCGTTCCAGTGCTGTTTCTACTTGGGAGAGTTTATTTGGTGACTTCGTGGGCTTCGTGCCTCATCACTGCAGCATCTGACCTAAACCTGCTGTGGGCAGTACATCTAGTGAATCCAGAAAACAGAATAGGGCTGGTGGCAGATGCAGCCCACGCTGCGATGAGGATCCTGGCTGGGGTCTAATGAGCATGGTGGATCACTTTTTTTGGTTAAATTTCTGTGTAGTATCTCACAGGGTTACTTTGTAGTGTTTTTGTACTCTAGTGCCAGGAGTAATGAGAGAGAAGTTTGACTTTTTTCTTACCTGGGTGCTTAATTTATGATGATTGGAAGGTGCTGAGCAATTTGTCTCTGTTTATTCTTTTGAAGGGGGCCAGCCTGCCTGTGATGGATCTGACGGAGCTCCCGAAGTGCACGGTGTGCCTGGAGAGGATGGATGAGTCCGTGAACGGGATCCTTACCACGCTGTGCAACCACAGCTTCCACAGCCAGTGTCTGCAGCGCTGGGAGGACACCACGTAAGAGGCTTTTCTTTAGTCCTGCATCTAAAAATCTGTTTGAGTGTGGTGGTTACGTGCTGACAAGCCTGGTTCTGCTCATCAGAGCGTCGGGGCAGAATTACTGCAAGTTCTAATGCTCTTTTTTCCCATTAAGGGACTCCCAGAGAGAAATCTCCCCACCAAAAGTAATTGAACAATGTTTCCCCTTGGGCCTCACTGCTAAGGCAGGACAGGAGTTGTAGAGTAATGCAGATTATTTTAAAATACTGCAGGGTAAAAATACTGGGGTAAACAGTATTGCATGCACACACAGCCCTGTTTGTCTCAGTCTTGTGTGTCTGTTGGGTCATTTGCTCCCTCGGTGTAGCTGATGCTGCCCCTTAGGCAGATGTGCACAGCTGGCTGGAGCTTAGGAGGCCTTTTGGGAGCCCTGCAGTCTCACTGTCTGTCTTAGATGCTGGGAGAGGATGAAGAAGAGCTGGCCAAGAGCAGGTGTGCAGGGGGATAGGAGTGGAAAGTGAGATAGAGGGGACGTGGGGAAGGAAGGGACGGTGACAAGATCACTTGGTAAATGAGGAAGGGGAGGCAGCTGCTCTAGACAGGCTGTATTATTCAAGGTGGGCATGGGCTGAGTGATGGGAGGCCGTGTCACCTGCTCAAGGAGTCCCTCCCTGGCACTGGGCAGTGCTGGGGGTTGGATTTGCATCTGTCCTTCAAGCAGCTCTTCTTTTCGCTACTGCTAACCCTTTCCTCCTCTTGCTCTTACTACCCCTTGCTCCTGCCATCCTTCACATCCCTGGAGATGGGGATTTCAGTGCGTCTGAGCTCCCAACTGCAGACCCCTCCCCACCTGGCACCCAGGGGCTGCTCTCAGTTGTGCATATTTTGCATTTTTCTGGACACTGCTGTTTTACTGCACATCAGGCAGCCATAGATACTGCAGCAGAGGGCTGCCAATCTTCACTGTGTTTTCTCCTCTGTCACCGGTGCCACTGATTTCCCGATTTTTCTGATGAAATGTGAGGAAAATTTTAACCCTCTATATCATTTGTAATCCAAAGTAACAGAACCTCACTGAGATTAATCAAATTTGTAGCTTTTCAAGTTTGTGGGCTGCTTTGCTCTGTAAATCAAAACCAGTTTAAATTAGAAGCAGTGGAGCTTAGCCAGTGTAGGAGCAAGATCCAGAATAGCACTTAAATATCTAATATACAATTTAAGCAGAACTTATGTTCCCAGTCTAGAGGAACAATAAAAGAAAATCCCTGTCCACTTTGCTTAGGCGCCATGGAGGCTGTAAGTGCCTGGATTTGTATAGAAAGCTGACTGCAATCCAATTGTCTCCTCCCTTGAATATTTCTGTAGCTTTTCCAGCAGCTAATGAAAAATACATAAACAGTCCTGGCAACAGGACGCACAGCCTCAGCTACCCCCCTCCCCAGCTGAGCTTCTGGTGCTTGGGGTCTGCACAAAGGTTCCTTCTGGTCTTGGGTCTTCTGTCTTTCTGGCAGCACGGTGGTATAATTTCAAAAGAAATGATACTTAGGGGGGGAGCTGCTACTGATTCTTTTAGGGTACAGTTATGGGATTTTCCTCCTGGAAGGGTTGAGACTGAATCTGTTGGGTTGGGGTGCGATTGAAGGAGCTCCTCATTTCCTTAGTGTTGTTTTAAGCACTCGGGTACGTTTGTAAAGTGTGTGTCCCTGCCTCTGTCACCCTGCTCTGTCCTCAGCAGTGTGTAGTTGCAGCCTCCTTCCACAGCAGCGTGTGCCTGCTGCGTAAAACCCTGCAGGTAATGGAGAGCTGAAGCTGTCACTTGGCAGCAGGCCGGAGGAGCGATGTTCAGAGATGTGTAACACATCTCGACAAGTGCTTCTTGCGATGTTTATGGCTGAGGCAGGGAACTGTTTCTAGAGCTTGGTTGTGGCTTTTTTTTTTATTTTTTTATTTTTGCTTACTGGCAGAGGCTGAGGTTGCTGTGTAGTTGCAGCCTCCTTCCACAGCAGCGTGTGCCTGCTGCGTAAAACCCTGCAGGTAATGGAGAGCTGAAGCTGTCACTTGGCAGCAGGCTGGAGGAGCGATGTTCAGAGATGTGTAACACATCTCGACAAGTGCTTCTTGCGATGTTTATGGCTGAGGCAGGGAACTGTTTCTAGAGCTTGGTTGTGGCTTTTTTTTTTATTTTTTTATTTTTGCTTACTGGCAGAGGCTGAGGTTGCTGGCAGCCTCACTGAGGCTTTTGGTTGCAGATGTTCTCTACACCTGGACTGCAGCAAAAGCTGCTCAAGCTGAGACTGAAATGGTTTCGGAAGAACTGTTCTTTGTTCTTCTGTCACCTACTGACTTTAAAAAGAGTAGTTTTGTGTGGAAGGGAGGCAAATCTGAGTGGGGTAAATGTGAGCCGAGAGATGCGTGCACATAAGGAGCGTCTCACTGTGTAAGGCATTGAGCACTCTGGCTTTCTTTTTAATTACCATAATATTAAGATGGAGCTCCTTGTGTCTAATCATGATGCTTATTGCCCTCTAGGTGTCCTGTCTGCAGATACTGCCAAACGCCTGAGCCAGTGGAAGAGAACAAGTGTTTTGAATGTGGAGTTCAAGAAGTAAGTAGGTGGGTGGATGGTGAATGAGATCTAGACGGGATCTGATGCACAGCTGCTCTAGTTGCTTTTGGGGTTAATTCTGTGGCTGATTTTACCAGTCAGTGGGTATATCTGATTTCCTTTTGAGTTGGAATGAGTACTGAGAAGGGATCTTACCTCCCAGGTTTCCTGTTCTGAAAAACGTGTCTGATTCTGAGAAAGAAGTATTAGCACATAAGCTGATCAGAGTATGCATGATGAGTATGATTGGAGGCAGCCAAACTAACACTGAACTTGGTGGTCCCTTCTAGTCTGTGCTCTTCAGAGCTTGCTTTTGTGGTCCTGCTGAGGTGGCTCGTTTGTTTGTTTGTTAGTTGAGGCCATTCTTCCACCCATGCACCACACGTGTACCCAGCACCTACAGGCTTGTAATTGGCTTGAATGAGCAGGTACCTCCTTCTCTTCAGCTTTCCAGCTGAGCAAGGCTTCCAAGAAGGAGGGGGGGGAAAAGCAAACCCTGTTTGCTTTCTAAGGAAGCGACTGGATGTGCAGAGAGCATCAGCAGGCTGTGGGTGTCAGATCACGCTGTCTCAAAGAGTTGATACCTCTGCTTGAGAGCCTTGTATGTACAGAGCTTTCTCATTCTGTTGACAGAACCTTTGGATCTGCTTAATATGTGGGCACATAGGCTGTGGTCGGTACGTGAGCCGACACGCTTACAAGCACTTCGAGGAGACCCAGCACACCTACGCGATGCAGTTGACCAACCACAGAGTCTGGGACTATGCTGGAGGTAAGCAGCCCCGTCTTCTCCTCTTGTAGGATGACCTTGTTTGTAAAACAACTTTCGGGACCCTTCAGTAAGAGTACTTGCCATAGAGTTTGCTTAGAGATTAAGGGGCTTGCATCTGTACTAATACCTTGTCTTTTGGGAACATCTATCTCCTCTCTAATAGCAGTTTTTGTGGGTCTGTAGCAGATGGAGGAGGGAGAACACGATTCTGTAATGAACTGGGGCGGTCCTGTAGTCTCTGTGGAATGTGTTTGTTACTCCCTTTCCATCAATTTGCCCTGAGGTATGGGAATGGGCTGTTGTAATAAATATCCTGTAAGGTGTCTGTGTGAAGTCTGCTAAATAACAAATACATCTGTTGTTGGCTTTCTGCCTTGCTAATATGCTGTTGCAGCAGTCTGCATGGTTAATTGTGCTGCATAAAGTATTTCCACTGGTGTCAGCCTGGGTGTTCTTAAGCTAAAACTCCCTGTGGTTGAATTTTCTCTCTTCAGATAACTACGTCCATCGGCTGGTTGCAAGTAAAACTGATGGGAAGATAGTTCAGTATGAGTGCGAGGGAGATATGTGTCAGGAAGAGAAAATAGATGCCTTGCAATTAGAGGTAAATATTTTTGGCTTGTTGGACTCTGCATTGTGCTGCTGTGTGGAAGTGTTTCAAATCCAGATATGACTATAGGAAAATTACATCAGCTTATGCAGCAGACCTGCTCCCTGAGTGTAAGCAATCATCTTCAGGCAGAAGCAGGATGGTTTTGCTGGTGGGTTTTTTTTTTGGTATTTTTGTTTTGTTTTGTTTTAAAAAATACCTCTTCTTGGCTCTGCAGAGCCAATGCAGTGAAGCATAAGCTGGCTGCAGTTTGGTCCTGTGTGCACCAGTAGACTGAAGATTAGCTGGTTACGCTGCTACAAACACCCAGGTCATTGGAGAGAGAAATGCCCATTGGAGAGAGAAATGCCCAGACTCACTCACCAGACCCTTCCTAGTGGATCTCTGACTGGGATGTGTATGGAACCGTTAATTTGAATAGTTTAGCTTGCAAACTGAGCCAGTATGTAGCAATCCATAGCTGCCTGCTTACCTTGGCTATCAAAGGAAGCTGACAGGCTTTTCTGATACCAGCCCCGTTGTGCTGCCTTTTCCTGAACACATACTGATCATTTTGCACCTGTTGCCCACCTTCTGCTGTCCAAACTAGAAGCATCAAGGAGAGAAACTCAAAATTACTGCTCCGTTGAGCAGTAACACTGCAGCATGATTTCAGCTGCGTTAGACACAAAGATATCTGAGGAGGAACAGCCCATAGAGACCGGACTTTGTGAGCTTATTGCTCAAGTAAATATTTGGTTGCTTTTCCATGAATTTTCTGAGTAAGACTTAGATGCTAAAACAGCTATTTTTAACCCTTTTTTCTGGGAGGTTGGTTCTTAAAGTGCATGAGACCTCTCTGTCTAGCTTATGTGAGATCTAAATGTCTCTACGCAGAACTAATTTGTCAGTGTATTTTGGTGCTGAAATAGTTCAAGGCTTTTTGCACGTGTTTAATTCTGTAATGACTGCCTAATTTGGTGTTTATTAGCCTGATGCTAAGAAATGATCACATTTTTCCAGCCTTCTCATAACTGATTTGCAGAACCAGGAGGGAGAAGATGGGATGTAAGGGACATATCCTTGTTCAGGTGCCAAAATAACATTGGAACGGGCCGTACTTGTTGGAGAACAATAATTGTGAATATACACAGCTGAGGGTGCTTTCCCAGAGACATTCTTAGAGTGAAGCTAAATATGTGCACTTAACCCTTCTGCATTGGGTTTTGGGCTGTGAATGGGGAGCTCAGCAGCCCCTGGGATCTCAGACTCTCGTGACAGGGATGGTTGATGCTTCATTTTCCTGGGGAGTGTAAAACTTGTAGAGATTTGCTACTACAATGAAAAATCTGTCACATCTTTAAAAGGTTCTTGGCATGGTAGTGGGTATGGCTTGGCAGAACTTTTACTTCGTCCTTGCTGTTGCTCTCTAAAGGCTTTCCTTGACTGCAAAAAGAAATCAAGGGATGTTGCTTTTGAAACCAAATTGGTGAAACACATCTGCAGTCTGCAAGTATGTTCAGAATGTCCTGTATGCTCAATTTCATCTCATTAAATTGATTTGTATATTGGAGCCCTTTTGGGCTTCTTAATCAGCATGGCCACCCTTATGGAAAAGCTGACTGTTGTGTGTGTGTATCTTTCTGTGTTTATAGTACTCATATTTGCTAACAAGCCAGCTGGAATCGCAGCGAATCTATTGGGAAAACAAGATTGTCCGTATAGAAAAGGATACGGCTGAAGAGGTGAGCTGGGAAAGGGCTGAAACAGAGGCCTGGACACTGTTAAGTCAAATGGGAGCTGGAGCTGCTGGGTCTCTGGTGCAGCCTGAACGTTGCGTGACGTGGCCTCGCGCAGCCTGTTTCGCTACCAGCTGAGAAAATTGGCTCCAAGACCTATCCCTTATCTCGCTGCTCAGATCTAGCAATTTGCTGCTCAGTGGTGCAGAAGTAGGGAGATTGCCACCTAGATTGAAGGTTGATTTAAATGTGCTGCTCGGGGAAACTGCAGCAGTGGTGAAAGCAGGTCCGTGCTGCTGCAGGATCCCCGCTCGCCGATGCCATCCGTCTCGCGCTGACGTCTATCTCTAGGGACGGTTAGTGTAGCAGAGACAATATGACTTTAATTTGCTTGGCTGCAGAAAGTGGAAGCTGTCTTTTCTGCTCCAAATGCATATTGATTTGCCCTTTCTTTTTGATCCCCTATCTCTCCTCATCACCCTTTGGGAAAAGTTCAGAGTCTCCTCCTATAAAGCGTTCTGTAGGCAGGACTGCTTCAAAATGTCATGAGCCAAAATCCACTGAGAATACTTTAATGCTTTCCACTCCACATAGATGCTTTCAACTAGGTTTAAAGTGAGTCAGGATTTAGGGTTGAGTCCTTAACTGAACTTTCTGCATGACTTTTAATTAACCATTTAGCATCTGCAGTTAAGGAGCGTTGTACGTGTAGAAATTGCGACTGTTGAAATAGTGGCCATTGGCCTTGGTCTAAAGAACAGTCCCAGAAATCTCATGGAGGGCCTTACAAAACAAAAACCTCTAGCAATAATCGTCTTGCATGTGACCAGGAAACACGATCCACAGAGCCAACTTCAAAGTGAAATGACTACAATCCGTGCCCCAAATGTGGTTTCATGTTGAAAGATCCTTACGATTTTATTCATGGCATTCACTCTGTGTAAGTCTTGCCTGGATCGGTGCCACCCTGCAGTGTATTCCATTATCAGCGCCCAGGCTACTTCCCCAAATTAACCATCAGCTGCATAAACATTCAGTGATTAAGGCCGGAAGGCTTAAAACCTGCTCTGCATTGACTCTGGCATCGGCGGAGGCACCATGTGTGCTGACACTGACATTTATCCAGATTGCTCCTCCAGGAAAGCATTTTTCCTTTAAATTCCTGCCTCCACTACACGCAAGCACACTAATATAGAGGAAACGAGTATTTCTGTCCATAAATCTCCTGTAAGGCTTACGTTAGAGGTTTGGGCGTGTTCTGTGCAGGGCTTGGAGAAGGAGAGCTTGGTTTTCTTCAGCAGTAGCAGCGTTGAGCTGCGAAGCAGAGAAGAGGAAGCCAACGTACGTGTGTTTCGGTTTGCGTGTAGCATGAGTAAGATATTGGTGTCAGTAGGTCACCGCCTTATGACAGGAGGCTGCTGAGTCAGTGCTGAGCAAAGTAGCAACGTTAATTTTCAGACTTTGACCATCTTTGTTTGAGGTTTAATTTAAAACGTGCAGAAGCTCATTTTATTGCAAAGCCCCTAAGATGGGAATTTAAGTTTGCTGACAGATACAAAAGGGGAAAGTCTGAGAGAATGGCTAAAAGAATGCTTAACTGCAGTCAATAAGAAGTTGCAGCTTTTGTGTGAATGGGGGTGCCTGGCAGAGATTTGCAGCCTGAGTTGCTGTTCTGTGTGAGCAGCTTCCACGGCAACGTGGTTCCTCCTGGGGGTGCTGCGGGGTGTAAGGCAGAGGGTCCTCATCCAAATTAAGCCTTTTGTTTGATTGGTTTTTTGCTCACCTGCATATAATAATTGGGCAAAGTCTAGAAACCACTCTAGAAAAATTGAATGTCATAACGAAAGTGCAGAGGACTTTGATCTCTTTGAAACGCCTGTGTGTTTGTTTTTACAGATTAACAACATGAAGACCAAATTTAAAGAGACCATTGAGAAGTGTGACAGTCTGGAACAGAGGCTCAATGACTTGCTCAAAGAAAAGCAGTCTGTCGAAAGGAAGTGGGTACCACTGCCAGGTTTAGTTCCATGCAGCCATTAAGACTCCGTGCACTGACATCCAAAAAGGAAAAAAAAAAAATAATAATCTGGCTATTCCTGGGCAATTTTGAGCTATTTAAACCGGTGTACTGAGAACACAGCTTATTTTTTTTTAAAAAAAAAAAAAAAGCTCTCGTTTCTGTAGGTGTTGAGAAATTGAAAGTGCCTCTTGAGCGGAACGCAGCTTTTGGGCTCTTGGCTCTTTTTTGGCTCTTTTGACACGGTCTGCGTGTTTAGCATTCAGTAAATCCTCCCTCTGCCTGCTCGGAAGGAGACGCCGCTCTGGGCTGCGATTGGCGGATACGTCTACAGAGAAGAAAGGCAGCTCAGCAGAGGCATCTCCCCCAGCACAGAGGAAAATGTAGATCTTAGGAAGTGCCTAGATGAAAGATGTCGAGCGTGGGGGAGCTGTGTGGATCAGGGTGTTCCAGCTCCCCAGGTGGGGCTGCCTGCTCTGTTCCCCCCCCAGCCCACAGGGCCCCTGGCACTGCTGCCCCTTCCCCAGCAGCCCTGGCTGGAGCCCGGCACCGGGCTGGTGGGCTGTGGTTGATGCAGCTCACCCTGCTGAGTGGAAATGAGTCTGTGTGTGATGCCAGCAAAGTTCCAGGGCAAAATCACCAGGTTGTGAGGAGCAGGGAAGCACCATTCGTGCAACATGAGGCTACTGATACCCTTGTGTGGGAGCATCTTGCTTCTGAGTGAGGCGGTATCTTCAGGATCTTGTGCTTGGAGTGTGGCAGGAGCCAGCATCTGGGAGTCCTTGACTGCCCTTAGCTCTCTAAGGACCTCATGTAGTCTCTGTGCCCTTTTCAGCACCTATTCCATGCGTTGCAGATGCACGTTCAAGGTTACAGTCCCACGTTCCCACCCCCCCCCGCCTGTTGCCTCTGTTGGCCTTTGGTGCAAGATGGAATTGCCCAACTTTCAAGGGAAGGGATTTTCCCAGGTTATGCAGTTTGAGGGACAAAGCAAGGGATTCTGCTTCACCTGCAGATAACACCATACAGATAAACCTTACGCTGGGTGGAAAATCCTGGGAGGGGGATTTCAGAGTCCTCTAGTGTTGCCTCCCCTTGTCCATCTTTTGCCAGAAACCCAAGTTCCAGGTGGTTTTGGTGGGGCTTAGGACAACGGGGGGTCAGTTGCCCTAAGGGATTGGAAATAAAAAGGATGCAGCGGTGTTTGATCTTGGGTATAACGCGCTGCTTTCCTTGTGCTTCTATTTGGAAGGTGTTCTCAGCTGAATAACAAAGTGGCTAAACTTTCCAACGAGCTGAAGGAGGAGCAAGAACTGAATAAGTGCTTGCGAGCGAATCAAGCCTTGCTTCAGAACAAACTAAAGGAGGAGGAGAGAGTGCTAAAGGAAACCTGCGAACAGAAGGACCTGCAGATCTCTGAGATCCAGGAGCAGTTGCGGGATGTCATGTTCTACTTAGAGACGCAGCAGAAAATCAATCACCTCCCAGCTGAGACCCGACAGGAGATTCAGGAAGGACAGATCAACATTGCAGTGGCATCTTCTGCCAGCTCCTCCGCGGGGAGCACGGGCAAACCTTCTTCCAGGAGAGGCCGTGGCAAGAGGGGCAAATGAAAAGCCAAATGCCCTGCTCCCATCCTGAAACTGGCCATACTGGTGGCAGGCCAGGCTCAGCCCTCGGGACTCCAGCTGGGGACGCCCAGTTCACTAAAGCTCAGCTAGAAATTGTCTTCAGAGCTGCTCATAAAACGGGGCTGCCCATCAATGGAGGTGTCTGTGGTTATTTAAGAGCATTTCACTGCACTATTTAGCTATTTTTAGGCAGATCTTTATGACCATTTTGCCTTCCTACCTTTTCGAAGCCCCTCCTGTCACGCGTTTGACTTTCTTCTTGGAGAGTGTTCTGTTTGGGGTGGGGTGTACACGTGAAACACCGCGTTCCCTGCGGGGATGCTGTAGAGTAGGCTAGGCCCGGGGTGCAAGGCTTCTCCAGTTCTTCTCCTGGATTAAAAGTATTCTCAATTAAGAAATGATTTTATTTAATAAACAGTGTAAATTAGATTGTATACATCACCTTTTAGTGCTGTGCAGTCCTGGTGCTGCAGAACCGCTAGTGCAGGAGTAGAACTGTTGTTTGGAAATAAAAGAAGGAAAATAACCCATCTTAGTGGTGTAAGAAACTGACCGAGTCCTCAAGGCTTGTAACGTAGGATATTAAAAGCTTTAAGGGACTTTGCTACTATCTCTTTCTTTGTTTTAAAGATGGCCTTTGAAATGCCAGTACTTGCTGCTTTTGGGGGCAGAAAGCGCGTTTTAAAGATGGCCTTTGAAATGCCAGTCAGTACTTGCTGCTTTTGGGGGCAGAAAGCGTGAAAGTTTTATATTCTAGAAACTGTTTGATGTGGTTGTTTTACAGGCGTTTCTACAAATTAAATAGAGCCATCCTTGCGAAGACTCTACACGTTACCTATTACCAGCTGCCGCGGCGTTCTGGTGCCGGGCGCGCGTGCGTCCCCGGGGTGAGCTGCAGGAGGGGTGTGATGGCAGGAGCTCCAGCGCTGCTCTCCTCAGAGCCAGGTGAGGAGAATGACTCACGTGGTGTTTTAAACTCTCTCTCCTCCCTGCCCGTGCCCAGCCCTGGCTGTTCTGGCTGCAGCAGAGCCCAGCGCGCTGCCCCACAGCCGGACCCTCACCGCTAGATGCAGCTGTTGTAATCCACTTACTGCCATCCCTTCCTGCTGCCTCTTCTGCTCTCAAACCCGGCTCTGCCCAAAATCTCAACCGGCAAAACTTTCACCTTATTTGCCCCAAAGGTATGTAGATCCCGTAAGGGAGCTTCGAGGACAAATCTGGGTTGTTTTTCTTTGTGGGTTTTCACTTAGAATATATACCAAGTGTGATGCTGTGGGGTGGGAGAGGTGAAGTCCTGGTTGCTGTGTTGCCCTCAGCAATCGGAGCGTTTCAAGGCTAATCCTCTATTAAAAGGGGCTGGGGAGCCCTGCAGTTGTCTGTTCAGACTGTAGCGTGATCCTTTCCCGGTGTTCAAACTGCAGGAACAGCCGTGATCTTAGTCCGTAACGCTGAAAACACAGCTCTGACTTACCAGCTCCAAACTGCAACAAAGAAATAAAAGAGCTTGTCCTTTATTGCTAGAAGTTGTTCTTTTTTGACTAATTGAAAGGAACGAGTTACAATAAATAGAATGATTCTCAGAAGGCGAGTCATTAGAATCTGCTTCCTGACTGTAGGGACTGGAAGTGTTGAACTTCGTGTTGAAATACAGGGCTCTCGTTCGTGCACTCATTGCATCCTCCACTTGGGTTTGAAGATCTGCCCCAATTGCCTGGAACTTCTACCTTTTCTAACTTTGTAGCATGAATGTACACTTAAACTTAACTCTTTTTCTAGTGTGTGGATTGTACAACCAGGCCTCTGCCTCCTGTAAATTATTCTAAGGACCTAGAGACGTACAACACAGCTTGCTCTCCTATAGAAACTATTTTATTTGAGATATATTTTTACACCATCTTAAGATCCTCTGACCTTTTGCTGGAAGCTTGCTTTGTGTAGAACACTGAGATGCCGTACTGTATCTGGGAATTCATTTTCAAAAAAGGTGATTAAAAATTAAACCAGTGTGCAGTATTTTTGTTTGTGTGCTCAACTGGAAGTGGAGGGAGGAGATGGCGGGGACGACGACACAAAACATGCGCCTTATTCTTTTTGAAGTCTTCTGCTTTTTAACTCGAAGGCAAAGCTGCCTGAACGGGCTCACTGTCATCTTTGGGGTGGGGGGAAGTTTGGTTCAGCTGAGCTGATATGAGCAGATAAGGCAGGGTAATTATCTCCGGCTCACGAGAAGGGGGCAGCTCATGCAGAAAAAAAACAAGAGTTGTTGAATACTTTTGTGTTCAACCAAATTATCCTCAGTCCTTGGGTCACCTCCAGCTTCTCCTAAAACCACCCCAGGTGGCAAAGCACCCTCCAGTGTGGATCTGGGTGTTCATTCACTGCTGGAGATCCACCAGCTCCCCCCAGGCTGCTGCTGGGTGAGGCTGAGGGCACCCTCCCCTGTGAGACTTCCCCCGTGGTGGGACCACGTCCTCTCTGGCCGCGGGGCAGAAGTGGTGTTGATGTGGCTTCAGCCCACGCGTGGCTCGTGGTGAAGGGAACAGTCCCAGCAAAGGCTGGTCTGTGACTCTTCCTTACCCATCATCCGGACACCCGACTGCCTGGAAACAGCGGTGGTGCTCAGAGCTCTCCAGCCTGTGATCAGGCTTTTGACATCTGCATCCCAAACCCCAGGTCAGCTTTGTGGCTGATGACTCAGTGTCACCACGGTAAAAGGTTGCAGCAGCAGAAAACTTCCCCCGACCCTGGGTAGTTGAGATTGGCCTTAAGATAGATTATTTTATTTTATTTTTAATCATGTAAGAAACATACACACCCCCCTGATGAACAGGAAAGGGGTTTTACTGGCTGCTTTGGGTGGCTGGAGTGGTATCAAAGAGAGCTCTAGGACAAAGCCTGCCTTGGCACTTGCCACGTGGCAGTAACAGGAGATGTTCTAGCAGGAGCAAGGAACAGGGGACCAACCCACTCTCCCCCAAAAGTGGCCAGCACCTTCTGTGAACTTCACTGGATCCTGCTGTTCCCTCTCCACAAAAGGTCCCTGATGCACAGAGAGGGAAGGGGACAGCAAAAGGACTCGTGATTCTGCTCACGTGGGTAGGATGGTACAGAAATTCACAGAGAGGGGACAGCAAAAGGACTCGTGATTCTGCTCACGTGGGTAGGATGGTACAGAAATGCCCAAGAGCCTCCCGTGTCAGCTCCGTGCCTCTGGAGCGAGACCACCCACCTGCTCGTGCGAGGGGGTCATGGGGGACCGTAGGAAAGGCTGCGGGGTTTGAAATGGCCATGGAGAAACACAGATGGAGCGGAGTGACAGCCAGAAGTCGCACGAAGCTTGGCAGAGCCCTCCGTGCTTTGAGGATGCCGAAATGATTCACTCCAGCAGCTGTTCCCGGGCGAGGGGAGAGGCGGTTGGACGGGGTGATGGGCTGGCATGACTTCTCCTCCGCTGGGGAGAAGCAGCACCCGCAGCCCGAGGGACAGAAAGGGCCGTGTCCCCCTCCTTGGAAGGGAAATGCAGGGCAGCTCGGGGTGAGCTGGGGCCCAGGGCTCAGCTGCTGCTGCTTTGTGCCAGGGATGTTCCCCATAAGCAAACGGCCAAGTCCAGATTAGGAGGCAAAAGCAGCGCGGCTTGGTGGGACTCGACTCAACAGCGAGGTGGGCTTCTCATCCACCACCTCCAGCACCCTCAGGGTATGTCCCCAAGCTCCGAGCAGGATCTGCTGGGGTGGGAGGGGAACACAGCACCCCTGAGACCTGTGGCCACCCGAGCTCCACAACCCCCCTGGTTTCTCTGTGGATGGATTTCCACAAGCCCAGTCGGGGCCAGCCCAGCAGCAGCCGGCAGAGCCCCCCGTGCAGCCCAGCTGGCCCCAGGTACCGCAGTTTGGGGTGAGAAGCCTGGTTGACATCGCTCTATTTCACATGGTTCCAGGGACTCATTAATTTTTCACTGGGCTAATTTGCCTCTTGGGAAGAACCTGTCCCTTAACAGCAATTAATCCCCTCCATGACATGGGCTCTGCTCTTGTAAAACCTGAGGGCCCAGGTAAGGGGATGTCTCTCTGGTTTGTGCCCTAGAAAACTCCTGTGGTGCCACTAACAGACATGGAATAACCCCTTGGGCAAAGGTCTGTGGGTGTCTGTCTGTCCATCCACCCAAGGAGCTGGAGCACCCCATGGCCACGCTGCATTCCCCGCGGTGCTCCTGAGGGTCACACTGCTGTCCCACCACCCCCTCTCCGCTCCCTTTACCTTTTCACCGCAGCACAATTCCCTAAGGCCCCCGTGGAAAATTCCTCCCTTGATCTGCACCAACCGACTTGTCTGTTCTTGCTTGAGCTCTGAGAAATTCACATCAGTTTCTCCAAGGCTTCCCCCCCTCCTTTCCCCTCTTTTTACATAAACTGGCATTTTGGTCTAATAACAGCATTTTAAAAGCAGGCACATCCAGCTGGAGCAGCTCTCCACAGCTGGTCCCACACCAGGACAGGCAGCAGTGTTTGGAGGGGAGTTTTTGCAGCACGGGAGGGACTTGTGTGTGTTCATTCTCCAGCCTGAATTCCTGCCCAGGTTTCCCAAGGCAAGAGCCAGCTCCCTGCGCTGGTTCACTCCAGCCTCCGAGGGGCAACAGCAAAAGAGCGACAGCTTTGCTTGAAGGAGGAAGCAATTTGTGATATTTGCTTTCATTTCAAGCCCAAGTTACAACCCCACACCTAACGCTTCCTGCTCCCGCACCACCCTGGAGCAAACATTATTTATAGCAGCGAGCAGCATTTATAGCTTTGCCCCTTCTTGACCTGGAAGTAATTGGTTAATTGAGTTAGGCAACAAACCTCAAGACTCTTGCATGGTTTCCTTCCACCTTCTCCCAGGGAGCTGGAGGGTCAAAATCCTCCCAGCCCAAGTTGGGTAAAAACATCAAACCCCCCCAGAGAGCAATGTTTACTTCCTCACCAGGAAATGGGTCCCTGTTGAACCTCCTTTGGGGCCAACAACTCCTATAAAACTGCTGCACCTGGGGGGGTCCCTGCCTTGCTGGAGCTGGAGCTTGCTCTGGGGTAGGTGGGGGCTCTCTGGGGAGGGTTTTCTGGGCTGTGCTGAGGCTGGGAAGCAGTGGAAAAGCTTTGC